TGAAATACTGTGTCATGCAGGGGTTTTGTAGAGCTCGTACAGTAAGCCAAAGCTGTGAGATGCGCTCACGCTTACATAACTTGCCGAGAGCGATGAGAATTGGTGCCGATGCATCGGGATTTCGAAGGCGGTGGCGAAGGCTGAAAAACTGGAGTTCGCGATTTTCCGCTTTTCCTTCTACAAGTTCTATGCATCGTCTTCCACTCGTTCTCCTATTTTTACTACTACTTGTATTGAGTTGTGCTTGATTTCGAAGATGAGAGAAGGTAGAGCACAATAACATAACGCCACGAGTTGCCCTGATTATGAAATCAAGGAGATTGTAGGTTACTGCAAAGTGGTTTCTACTGATGTTTTTGCATGGAACTTTGTTAAGGTTGCTTGTTTCACCTTTGCAACTGCTTGGCTTTGCGTAAAGATTTAGAACAGTTCGCAGTGTTTTCAATGAAGTTCTCACGATTAAGACAAATGCTGTTCGCCACATTTTTATGAATCAGTGATTGATGGCAAAAATGGATAGGCTAGCGCCGCAACTATCCCCACTGTAATGGCCAAAATAACCGTTTTGTACCACGAGGCCAAAATTGTTGCTGTGGGTCCTAAATCGTGCTACTCGAAACATGGATGCTGTACGTTATCCCACTGAAATATTCCGTTGATGGTATTCCTAGTAATTGTGCATACATAAGAACAAGTGATATTGGCGCATACATAAGAACAACTGATATTATAAATTGCTAGGTATTTTGGGCCCATCGCAATAGGCAGTTGAAGGGGTTTCGAGCTCTATCACGTTGAAATCAGGGTTCGTTGGGTTTGTTAGTGAACGTACTGTTTCAAAGCTGTCTTACTGGCATACGATTTCTCCTAACGTCTCAATTTCCAATTTACAACGAAAAGTTGCACTAGCTACCTTTTCGCATTTTGCCGTACCTGTCAGCAAATTTTCATCTGTTTTCTCCGACGTACCTGTCAGCAAATTTTCATCTGTTTTCTCCGACGGAGCTTGTTCTACCACATTTTGAATGACTGGGTGCTTCTCCCATTCGCGTGCTCCTGGATTTTTCGCGCTCGCTCTACTTTCCATGTATTGCGCTTTTTACGGCCTTATCGATTTTTTCTGGCTGTCTATTTGTGACTGGGACTGGGTTGCGCTTTTTTGACTTTGACTCATTTTTTATCCCTGAAAGTTCGGCACATATTGAAAAGTAGTACGGTTTTTGTCACACTTCGTGCAACTTCCACTAAAGCATTCACGTGCCAAGTGGTTCTGCATCGTCAATTTGTGCACAACTTACTATTTCTCAAGAGCTCGCTCCGCTCACTCATCGTAGTGATCGTTGAGCACCTCAAAGGATTGTGATTAATTTTTTTCGCAGTAGAGCAACTTTTTGCAATATTTTCTTACTGCGCAACTGTGTGCGGTCGCTACTATTGCCAATCTGGCGTCTGAGCCCTCTTTGGGTACGAAGTTCGTGATCACGAAGCATTTCGATCACTGCTCTTCGGTTTCTATTACCTCGTCCAACTCTTTCACTAGCTAATGAGCTTCCATTCGTTCTCATTAAGGTTTTTCGCACACACCTGCTTAACGATTTTGCGCTGAATCTCGACTTGAAGATTTGACATTCCTTGTAGGCTCACCCCTAATTGGTACAATGGTGTCGTTATAGATGTGAGGTAATCTAGTAATTAGCGCTGTTCTCTGATTTTATTGCCCCTATCGCTGTTTCCGCTGTCTTCCGCTGTTTCTAAGCGTGCCCGTGTCTTATTAATTTTGATTAATCGCCATACTTGGGTCGTAGCGGTAGGCGATTTTCATCATTCACTGCGTACTTCTTAGCCGTTCCGGTGGCTAACCCTTCAGCGCAATTGAAAGATAATGAAATTTTTGCAAATTAGTCAGATCCCGAGAATCGATATTAGCCACGAATAAAGCCCAAAAACCGTCGAAATTCTTCCAACCTGCCGGAGTAGTGGGGTATGGGAATTACAGGAAACTCAAGCTCTGTCTACCGGAACGACTCTTTCAGAGGTGTATCCGAAAGTCACGATCAATTTGGCCTTTTCGATGATATCTCGACTGTTTTCTAAATACTTTTGCGCCTTAATGTCCTGATGTTGAGTTAGAGTATATTGAAGTTGGTAGAGTTTCGGTGATTTGTAAAAGTGCTTCTGTGACAGCGCTTCCCCGACATCCTTGTTTAGAAGAGAATTGGAAAGCAAATGAAAAAAAGTCAAATAGAGTTTTGTTGACCAGTAGTGAGGATAATGAATGATGTTGACGAAAGAAGAAACTCATACAGCGACAGCGAGTAAAAGGTGAAACGTAATTCAAATATTTCGCACCTGTGTATCGCTCGGACTCCTCGGTTTCGTTCCGATACGTTCTGTCCCGAGTTCTTATGATACTGATGCCACATAAAATAGCTCTCACAAGATCCAGCACCAGTGCTTAATCGCTTGACTTCCTCAGACTTGAAAAACCTTCCTGAAAATTAACCTGACCGTAATCATTAAAGGCACTGTTCACGAAAAAATGGTTTCGGAGATTTGCACATGGTTTGAATTCGAAGCCCCCTCTGATAACAATTGTGCAGGAATTAGGTCGGAAAACGGCTGGATGGGGCACGATAAGGGCAGGAACCGTGGGGGACGGGAGGCCTCCGCCCCTCGCTAGGCTGACTACGAGTTCAAGTTGTCCTTCACCACATTCGCACTGGAGCGAAGTTGGTGAAAAATCGATACGCTGATTGGCAATTGGCCAGAA